ATGGAGGTGAGACAATTGCTCCCCAGAGAATGGGCTCTTTTTATATAAACTCCATAATTTGGGAATGGGATGGATTTATAGGGCAAGAGGTTTGTGAAAAGGAAAGGTTTTTATTAATGCTTCTGTGGAAGCGATCACTTTCGGTAGAAATGATTGCTTCTTGCCAATCGAGACAATAATTTAAATATCAAAGCCTGTGCCCTAGAAATGAAAGGCAACAGAAAATGAGGTATGATGAATTGATAGAGGTTTGGTGATAATATAGAGTACAGTAGTCATCCTGACTTCCAAAGAAGTCTGCATGTTCTCAGTGGGAAAGGTGTGTCCCTAAGCAGGTTTATAGCAGAGTAGAAATCCCAATTCACAGATGAATAAATGAGAGACATAAGTGAGGCCTCCTGCTCAAGGCCACACAGCTCATGAGTGGGGAGAAGGGAGCCGGGCATTTGGGCTTCCTCGCTTGTTGTTTAATGTTCTTTTCCCAAGGATGTTCATTACGGGTCTTCTTTTGGAGTTACAGATAATAACTTATAATAGTCTTGGTTTACTTTTTGTAGGGTACTCATACTATACATTATACATCAACGACAGCAGGGTAAATGTTTCAAAAAGTTAAACAGCTTTTCAAAAGTTTTATGATCTTGAGGAAAGATCTATAAAGATAGATTATGAGGCAATTTTAAAATCTACATTTCTTATGCTTTGTTTAAGCTATTGAGCAAATGACAAATGTGCACTATGAAATAAAAATCTGCTTCAAAAACCTATAAAGATAGATTATGAGGCAATTTTAAAATCTACATTTCTTATGCTTTGTTTAAGCTATCGAGCAAATGACAAATGTGCACTATGAAATAAAAATCTGCTTCAAAAACGACAACTATAGAATTTAAACATTTTAATACAGATGAGTCCTGCTAATTTTCAGAAAAGGAAGGCAGGAGCTAAAAATAACAACTGATGTGCAATAATAGCAAGACTCGGCATTTCTCATCCCCTTTTAGCAACATGAGAATTCACTGGTAGAATGTTTCAGGAAATGCTTCTGACTACAGTACAATACAATTTCTGGTATATACAATTCACAGGAATCTACCTTTTGTTTCCACTTGAGCTTTGCTTGTTGCCATACTGTTCTTTCGAATGGAAATGAAGTATATTCTCTGCGTAGTGTCTGTGCATATTAGTTGGGGGCTGAAGATGAAGTTGTTTGGATATTGTGACTGCACAGTTTAAGGAAGAAGAGATTGAAACCATGCATAAAATGAGGGCCTGATGCATAACAGACTGACATTAACTAATTTATTAATATTCTTTGTGAAACAGACATAAAAGGTCCTTTTGTGTGGTTCAATTTTTTCCTGATTTGGGTAGACTCCTTTGGTAAGACTGTAAAGTGTATAGGCTGATTTGTAATAAGTGTTTATTCTAGGCTGTTTATTTATCTGTTTTTTTTTTCCCCAAAATCCTTTGTAGTTGAGATTCTTGAAGGTTTAAACTCAGTATTACTCACAGTGTGTTTAATTCCTATGATCATCCATACGTTTTACCTCTAAGGTGAGAGAACTCTGACTAGGAAAGGTTCTTGAGATGACTGAGCTGTGTGTTTATAAAATATTCTGGAAGCTACCTTGCAAGTTTAGTGCAGCACATATTATTTTAAATTTTAAATTGGTTAAACTGGATTCAAGACAGTAAGCATAATATTCCGTCCTTGACGTGTCCAGGTGACATTTTGATCTCAAGGGGAAAGCATCCAGCTCTATAACCCTAGTACACTTTGGTCATTCAGAAAGCAGCAAGCCCTGTGAACGCTGTACCTTTTGTAGATGAAATATGGTTAGTGAAATATCAGTGGGGATGAATGACACTGTGTATGTTTGAACATGTATCTTTGTGAGCACAGAAAAAAGACTTGTGCATGAACATGAGTATAAATATGTTTAAAAATACACACAAAATTAAATGGTTCATAATGAGGGGAAGTGAGTACCCAGTGGGAAATAAGAAAAATCTGGGAAATAAATGATCACTTCTATGAAATGTGGTGACTTAAGGTTCATCAGCAAATAATTGATTACAAATCTTGTCTTTAAAAAGTCATTTCAAAGGAATAATGAACAGGTAATTTCACAGCATGACAATGCAAAGAAACTGAATACAGTACAGGATTCTGCACAGGTGGAAAATCGGTATGCATTCGTTGAGTACATTAAGATGCGTTGAGTACAATTAAATAATATTTACTTTAAAAAAAAATCCCTGGACAAAAATAAGCAAGAAATTTTGGGGGGGCATATCTTTTAAAAATGTGTACAATTGAATCTATTAATTATCTTGGGAATTTTAGTTTATTCAGAAATCAAGACAGTAATCCTATGAACCAAAGATGTTTTTCTAATGCAGTATTAGTTAGCATCCCTATCTTTGATTGTATTTTATAAAAATCATGTTTCTTTTTCAAAATGCCTTTTTATTTATTTTTTTTAATTGTAAAATGATTACATGTCTCATTTTAGATTGAATAGACAAATCTTTTTTTTTCCCCTGGGTGTCTGCAGAGTGCTTGGATTTTCTTCTACATCTCAAAGCTCTTTTAATTCACTGCTCACAACCAAATTTACATCTTAATTGCAGAGTTCACATTTAACAATATAGACAGCATAATGCTACTGGTAATTAAGCTTTTACTACCTGCTTTTATACAGTATTCTCAGGCATAGTTTTTGCTCTGCAAGTTCTGATCTAGAAACTTGTATGCATTTAGACCACAAATAAAAGGATTTGGGCCCATATCTTAGATATAGCTAAAATACATGGCAGGGAAATTGCTTTCTTCTGTGGGGGGGACCAAGTCATGTCTGTCATTTTTATATTCTGAATTTTAATGTGGCTGTTCTATTTTAGTGTTTTGTTTTTTAAAGACCTAGAAAATTTGAGAGGGTTGAGAGAGTTGAGTTCTGATTTAGTGAATTTCACTAAAAACAATTCATGCTAAATATCTGAACTAATCAATTTTGATCTCAATGATTATACTTTGAGAGGGTTGAGAGAGTTGAGTTCTGATTTAGTGAATTTCACTAAAAACAATTCATGCTGAATATCTGAACTAATCAATTTTGATCTCAATGATTATACTATTTCTGTCATGTAAGACTTAAGACTCAAAAGGTTGATAAGCAGTACAGCTGAATTCTATCAAAATTGTGGGTCTTCCGCTCCCCATAAGGTAGCAGTTATTTCTTTGCCATAAATAGCTGGTGTCTATCCAATGTACATTTGCTAGTATAAAAAAATCCTGTAGTTTAAAATAGGACCTAAGCAAAGTCTTTGTTATATGGAAATTACAATCATGCCATACAGTCTTGTAGGAGGAAAAACACCCTTCTCCTATTATACCCTCTTGTTACTTTTTTTT